TAGAACATAATTAACCCAAACATAAATAATATAAAAAAAATAATTTTGAAAAAGTGGCATTTTTGTAAAGATTTCAAAAGTGTGACATTTTTATAAAGAGACACTTGAAAAGTGGCATTTTTTGAAATTTTTCTTGGAAATAACAATAAAAAGATTTCACAAAATGGTGCAAGCCTAAAAACAACCACAACTCAAATCTATATATTTTTTTTGTTTAGGATTGTTATTAGGGTGATTTGCAACAATAACCAAAAAAAAATATATATATTTGCAATCTAATGAAAATAGTATGATGTGGAGAAATAGGAGCTAGATGATTTAGTTAGTTAGTGAAATATAATTTTTTTTGGGGTTATTTTAGTCAATTTTCCTTGTTATTATATATGATTTTAATGGATTCGCAAATACTTTCAAGTTGAAATCCGATGGAAATGTTAATCAAATTTTGTAATCCAACATGTATTTTTTCTATTATTTCTCTATCAAACTTATTATTCAACTAATTTACAATTAATTAAAAAAATAAATCGCCTAAGCTGAATTTTTAAAGATTCTTGTTGGTCATACACGTTCGCGTTGGAACAAAACAAAAATAGTTATTTATTTTGAATAAGTTTTAGCTCAAACCAATACCAATAAGACTGAGAAAAAAACAGAGCTAATTTGCACAACAACAAACAACATTTTCAAAAACTTAAGCAAGACATGACAAGTGTTCTAGCTTTCTTCTTGAGGAGGAACAGGAACAGGTTCAAGCATTCTTACAGAACGAGGAAGCATAAACTCAGCAAAGACAGGGTAGTGAGACGAAGGATACAACTCGTCGATCTTATCATTTACCACCTCGCACATCACGGGAACTACAGACCTACCTCTGTACAGTATCCAATCCGTGTGTAGATCTTGTGTCTGTCGGTCCCAGCAGAGGCATAGAGCTCTGAATATTAGCTTCAGGAACTCGACCGTTCCCTGCTTGTCACCTGAACAAAGGCCCAATATGTTATGAAAGAAGGAGCACTGGCTCATGAGAGGGTGAAAATGTTTCATTTTATGTACCTTTGAAATCATGATATGTTCTTATGAGAGCGACATTTTTTCGTACTCGGGCACTTGGCCATGCGTCTCTCATGTCCCCTACCACACCGTGCTCTCTGCACATTGAGTGAATACCCAAAAGACCATTCATCAGCAGCCAAATGAGGATATACAATTTGAGTTGAAACTAGTTGACCAGTGTGTGTAAAATGTATTATAGCTATTACTGCATTACCTAGGAGCCCTGGAAGGAAACTCTCTGAGAATAGTAAAACGCAAAAAAAACTTGTGAAAGTGATATTTAGGTACCTAGATCTGCCCAACAGAAATCGCCCGGTTGTTGATTCCTTCTGTGTGTTGAATCCTCCACAGTACACAACGGGCAATGTGGGAGGTAATGATGCAATGTGTTGCCATGTGAGCAAAGCACTTCGCCTACGGGCACGAGGACTGATTTCATCCAAGTTTGTGTTGACTATCTGAAACGAAAAACCAGGTGGCTCCACTCGTCTCAGTTGGAATGTGTAGGCAGCTTGTCAAAGAAAACTCAAAATCCTGATATAATGGCAAAAGATAAACCGATATACTAATCTAATTACTGTTTAGCTAAAATCAACCCCGCATTAATCAGGATATGGCCCATGTCGCTATACAAGGAACTGCAGAACCCCACGCCGTGCTTCCAGGGACCGAGGGAGACTCTGACAACCAAAAAGTTCCACCCTCTAGCAGCTCTACCTTCAATTAGCATAAAGTACGTGGGAATTAATCGTTAAGAAAGTGCCATTGTTATTAGCTTTATTAACAGTCTAATACTTTTTCCTTGTTGTAGAAGATGGTGCAGGATTCATCAGTAGCATCCTGAGGCCCTTTTCTTGATATGCCAAATTGATCATACGCTGCAAGCAAAGAAAACTATCATCTCTTTAAGTTCAAAGACACAATGCAAACTGAAGTATTGTGAAGGCATGTGGAAGTAGAAGCTAGCTCCTTGGTTCTTAGCTAAAGGCAAACAGTAACAAAAACCAGATAAACAATGCCACCATCATCTCAAAGAAGTGAAAATGTGAGAATATCATGCATACCATTACCATACAAGAGACACATCCAGTGCACTAGACTCTGGTTTTGTAGTTTTCAAAACATTAACTCGAGGATACAGATTTTTCACAGACTGACTATTAGATTTAAGCAATACCAACATATACTAAAAATAGAATCTAAATCTAGATCTCAATAGATTCACACTGTAAATTACGAACAAGAAGAGGTGGTCTATGATTGATATCGAGATTCACACTGATTGTAAACTTGAGACGGTGCAGATTTATAAAAATCTGATAGACTGAATACAAAAAGAGTTCAACTACATCTAATCCCATCAGTAGCCATATAACTCAAACACCATTTAAGCCCCAAATTATATATTTATAAATCAAAGAGATTAGTGCATATATACCTGGCAAGCCCTGCTGAAGATAATCCAATTGCGACTTCACACCTAAACAAAGGAAACAAGAAACACAAGATCAAAAAAACAAAATCACATCTCTGTTGAATACTCAATATAACGCAAAAAACACAAGAACCAGTTCTTGGGGAACACAAATCAGAACATACCCAGAAGACCAATATGAAGAAGGAAACAAGATCTAACAAGCATTGATTAAGAGAAACAAGAACCTTGTTGGGTGCAGAGAATGATGGGGGAGTAACTTGTGATCACAGTGAGACACAAATCTTTCCTTTTGTGCCATGAATTAGGGCTTTCTTCAGGTTGATCATCATGAAGATTGAATGTCATCACACTCAAAGAGACACTCA